TAAACACCTCAAGTTAAGCTGATAATTGGCACGTATTTTATTGCAGTCTTATACCCTAAATAGTTTGGCTGTTGGTTTGTTTTAATAGGAGAACACTGTAGACAGTACCAAATTTCATATAACATTCCATGGAAGTAGTATCTTATAATGTCTAAGTTAATGCCAAAAAAAAGTAAGTAATTTTTCTTTTCTTTTTTAATACTTGGAATATTTTATTTTTGGAATTTCTAAAGCTCTTTCAATTTACTAGATAGAGACAACTAGCCACTAAATACACTGTGTAAGCTCAGTGTGTAAGTGTCCAATTGCCACTTTACGGTAGTCTAGCTCCTGGCCAGTTCCTAAAGTCATCTTGTACGACGCATCCCCTAAGTATATATTACTGCCACCTTGTGAGTCATTCATCATAACTATTTTAGCTGATAATTTTCCAGTTGTTACACATTTGCATTTGCCTGAAAAAACATCAGTGATTCTTTTCCATAGATTTTTTTCTTCACCTACGAAGTGACAGGCACTGTGCTAAACAGCAGGTTTGAAAGGTACACTAGACACAGATGCCCATCTCAAAAAGATTGCATTACAATTCTAATTTAACAAAATTCACTTTTTACCTTCACATGTTTATTGTTTTTTTCTTCCATAGATATTTCACACCCCTTCAAAAACTTTTTACAAAACTCAACCATAATCGCCAATAGTGGTTACATGAATCTACACATGCAATAAAATGGTATAGAGCCATTCACGTGTATTCACATTTTGTAAAATGTCAACTTAGTGTGTTTGATGTCCTGCTTTATGTTTAACTAAAATGTGCACGTGACCACCCTGTACTATCTTTGCAACTTCTTGTGAATCTGTATCATTTATAACCATGAGATTCATTTTGAAAGAGTAAAGAATGAAGATATGTCAGCAGGATAGGCTATCTAGTGGCTCTTGAATAAAGATAAAGTATGTCCTTACATTCGTCTAGGATTTGGTCCATAGATTTCAGTTTTGGAAGCACTTGTATATCAAAATGAATTTCCCCCCAAGAAATAATGGAAACTCAGATGATTCATTCCACAACCCAAAAATATTCATATAAAAATGATTGCAATACTGCAATATAATGCAAAATAATAAAGAAAATACAAAGTGTAAAGAAAATAAAATTAATTAAGATTAATTTTATCTTAGGGGCTTAGGGCATGGACATCTTTGAGGAGCCATTGATCTTCCTGCCATGTTGACTTGCCAAAAACATTATCTGGAATTCATAAAATTCCTAATTAAAGTACAATTCATATGTTTGCTTTTAATTACAACAAGAAATAATGACAACAATTCATCCCTAGAATTTTCAAAACAATAGTAAGTTAAATCCAATGAAAATGGAAGGAAAGTGTGCCTGGGTGACTCATAAAGAGTCTGTTAAGCCTCCGATTCTTGTTTTTGGCTCAGGTCGTGATCTCATGGTCGTGAGATCAAACCCTGCATCAGACTCCACACTGAACATGGAGCCTTCTTGGGATTCTCTTTCTCCCTTTCTCCCTTTCTCCCTACCCCTCCCCTGCTAGTGCTTGCTTGCTCCCTTTCTCTCTCTCTTTCTCAAAATAAATAAAACATTTAAAAACATGAAATAAATTTGGGGCGTCTCAGTGGATCAGTCAATTAAGCATCTGACTTTGGCTCAGGTCATGATCTCCTGGTTCATGAGTTCGAGTCCCGTGTCAGGCTCTGTGCTGACAGCTCAGACCCTGGCCTGCTTCGGATTCTGTGTCTCCCTCTCTCTATGCTCCTCCCTCTCTCATGCTCTGTCTCTCTTCCTCTCCCTAAAAGTAAAAATAAACATTAAAAAATTTTTTTAATAAAAAATGAAATAAATAAAAAAAAGGAAATGGAAGGAAATAAATTACAAAGAAAACATCAGAGATTAGTGAAACAAAATGTTATGTACAGAGGAGAATATTAGTGGACCCAGCATTGATCTTTGAAAAGATAAAATTTGGCAATGTTCTGGCAAGATACACTCAGAAAATAAAGCAAATAATAAAAAAGTAATAAATAATAAATAAAAGGTATCTCTACTCAGGTATTCCAGATTAAAAAAGAATGAGTGTCAAATAAAGATAACACTGAGGAAAAAAAGATAGTTTTCTAAAACTGACTCAAGAAAAAATGGATAACTGGATTAGACATACAATTTTGCAAAAGATGAATCAGTAGTCAAAAAAAGTTCCCCCCAAAATAGACCCAGATGACTTCACCAGAAAATTCTACCAATTTACAACAAAACAAACACAAAAACACACAATGAAGTCTTTCACAAACTGTTTTTGTGTGTAATAATAGAAGAGATGTTAGTACAGTAAAACCTTGGTTTGCGAGCACAAGTTTTTCTGGAAAAGTGCTTATAATCCAAAGCACTTGTATATCAAAATGAATTTCCCCCCAAGAAATAATGGAAACTCAGATGATTCATTCCACAACCCAAAAGTATTCATATAAAAAGGATTGCAATACTGCAATATAATGCAAAACAATAAAGAAAATACAAAGCGTAAAGAAAAATAAATTAATCTGTGCTTACCTTTGAAAAAAAGCTTTATGGCTGGTGTGAGGGAGACGAGAGTTTGTGTAGAACAACTTTCACTATCACTAGTGGAATCTCTGCTTTCTATTGACTTAATGGAATCCTTTTCTTTGTGCAACTTTAACAAGGAACCCAGACAATGACACTTGTTTTTGCCTCCTTGTGAGGATTTCACAGAAATGTGACATTGCATTGTTGTCAAACAGATTCATCGCTCCCACTACAGCCTTATTCATGTGGTTCCTTTCTACAAAATGTTGCCATTTCTCACATTTTACCCTTCTCCCTAATCTCGTTTGAAGTGAAGGATTCCTCCACCTTTTTCTCCTTCTTCTTTGCGGACAAGATGCAAATGTAAACTTCTTACAAAATCTTGCAATTTCGGTCACTCGCATACCTTGTTCGTACTTCTCGATGATTTCCTTCTTAATTTCCACTAAAATAACCTCCTTCTTCTTACCATCTTTCTTTTCAACATTTTCTCTGCATGGGGGTCATTGTATATGTTCGCATGGATGTTGACTACAGTACAGTATTAATAAACTCCTTTAATATACTGTATATAATGTAACTGGCAATAAGGCAGCAGAGGAAAGGGTCTATATCTGCAGGCAGCCTGACCTAGAATGAAGCAAAGCATTGCTAAGCTTACTCTTGTATGGAAAAGCAAAGGACTGTCCATAGGAGCTTGGAAGTGACCAAAAAAAAACAAAAAAAACAAAAAAACACTAGTGCCAGTTGTGGGCACCTTCCAGTGTTCTGAAAAATCACGATTTCTGCCAAACATTGCGGCCTGAGACCAAAAATCTGAGCATGGGAGATGATCACCCACAATCCCACAGACGCAGAGAAAGAGAGAATCCCCTTTATACTAAACATGAATGAGATTTTGAGATTTTGTCCATGGAATTTTGTTCAAATACACTTCATCTTTAATATGTTTATCATAATGTAATAACAGAAAACAAATTATTTTATTTTTCATTATGTTTATAGGTTGTGGTGATTAAATGGGCAAAATATTATTAAAAATCACCTAGCTCATGTCCTGACACTGAGGAACCATATAGTAATAGTTGCTATCACTTTACTAATAACTGATAAGCTTTGATAAAATTCACGGTATTGTCACTTAATTAATTAATCTTATTAAAAGACTATCTAAATACTGTTGCAAATGCTAAGTTACTCTTTATCTCAAATCAAATATTGTAGGTCCTAGAAGCACAGATCTTATTTTGATAAATGGCTGTTTGTAATTTTCTACCCTGAGATGTTCATAGTTTTCTAAGTTAGTACTTTAATTCAAATATTAAAATATATGTTATATCATTTTATTTCCAAAATAAGCACTAGAGAGCTTTTTTTCAGATGGTTCCTTCACACCAGATATGGCATATGGTTCTCCATCTTAAAAACATAATGAATAATAATAATAAGTAATCTTATCCTGTCTTTTGTTTTTCTCTAGGTATCACCCTGTCTATCTCTTCCCCTTCATGAGCAAACTTCTCCCACATGTTGCTGCCACTGGTTTCTTTTTTTCTTTTTCTTTTCAATATATGAAGTTTATTGTCGAATTGGTTTCCATACAACACCCAGTGCTCATCCCAAAAGGTGCCCTCCTCAATACCCATCACCCACCCTCTCCTCCCTCCCACCCCCCATCAACCCTTAGTTTGCTCTCAGTTCTCAACAGTCTCTTATGCTTTGGCTCTCTCCCACTCTAACCTCTTTTTTTTTTTTTTCCCTTCCCCTCCCCCATGGGTTCCTGTTAAGTTTCTCAGGATCCACATAAGAGTGAAACCATATGGTATCTGTCTTTCTCTGTATGGCTTATTTCACTTAGCATCACACTCTCCAGTTCCATCCACGTTGCTACAAAAGGCCATATTTCATTTTTTCTCATTGCCACGTAGTATTCCATAGTGTATATACACCACAATTTCTTTATCCATTCATCAGTTGATGGACATTTAGGCTCTTTCCATAATTTGGCTATTGTTGAGAGTGCTGCTATGAACATTGGGGTACAAGTGCCCCTATGCATCAGTACTCCTGTGTCCCTTGGATAAATTCCTAGCAGTGCTATTGCTGGCTCATAGGGTAGGTCTATTTTTAATTTTCTGAGGAACCTCCACACTGCTTTCCAGAATGCTGCCACTGGTTTCTTTCACTTTTTTATTTCTATTTACCCATAAATAACTTCAGTCTGTTTCATGCTCTTAACTGTCTTTCCCTTGCTGTGCAGAAACGTTTTTATTTGATGTAGTCCCACTTGTTTATTTTTGCCTTTCTTGCCTGTGCTCCAAAAATCATTAAGACCAATTTCAAAGAGGGATATTATTTAGCCATAAAAAAATAAAGAAATACTGCCAATTGTGACAACATGGATGGACTCGGAGGGCATTAGGCTAAGTCAAATAAGTCAGAAACAGAAGGATATATACCATATGATCTCAGTTATGTGGAGCCTAAAAAAAATTGAACTGGAAACAGAGAGTAGAATGAGTTGGGGAGTGGGAGAAATGGATAGATGTTGATCAAAGAGTAAAAGCTTTCAGTTATAAGATGAATAAGTTTGGGGATATAATGTATATAGCATGATGGTATTAGTTAATAATACTGCATTGTATACTCGAACTTTGCTAAGACAACATATCCTAAGCTTTGTCATCACACTCAAAATTATAACAATGCATGGTGATTTAGGTGTTCATTATCCTAATTGTGAAAATTATTTCACAATTATATGTATATTATATGTAATTGTCATGTGTAAACTTTAAATATGTAAAATTCTATTTTCCAATTATATCTCCATAAAACTAGAAACAAAATTTAAAAATGTGTTATGTTTGAAAATAAAAATTCTCAGAATGAATGAGTTTTTCCACTTCTTGAGGAAGTGCAGAAAACACATTGTTCACGTTTCTGACAAATTATTTTAATTAGAAGCATTCAAAATTAGGAATTGCCCTGTTAAGGTCTATTTATTTATGTTGTTAATTTCCACATAGATAATTAAGTGAAAGCCATCTGTGGTGTTAATGGAGCTTCTTTGTCCCTGCACTGTGCCTACAATATCACAAAGACCTGAACAGTCACTGTCCATTGGAGGAGCTTAAAGAAGATTACCATGGCAAACATTCACAAATCCAATAATTAGTTCAATTGCGTAATGGAAATCCATTAGAAACTTTTCATTTTACACATTGAAACTTAACTGATGTAACTAACAGTAATAGATTCTCTCTGGAAAATGTGTTCAAAAAATGAAAACGAAATTTACATCGAATGTTCATTGTTGTTTCTGAAGAAATCCCTCTTGAGAGAAATCTAATTAAACTGTGCAGTGAATACAATCCCTTCGGTCTTTAGTCAGAATAAAAATACTGCCTATTCCACCACCAGTTTGGAATTGTAGAAAGTCTGGAAGACCAACAGGGAAAAGAAAATTCACCTTATGGTTCTAGGTATGTTCCCCTATTCATAATTTCCTGTAAAATTACACTGAGGTTGTGGAAAGAAGATTCTGTTAGTTTTGGTTTCCATGGATTTTGCCTGCCTAATCATTTGATTATTTTTTTCAAATCTAAATGAGTAACTTCATGTACGCAAATAGATACATGGCTGGAAATATATTCCCTTCTGAACCCTTAATTATGGCTTGAAGAAAAGTGTGGAATTCAGAACCTAAATATAGCACTTTTGTATTTTACTCTCTACGCTTAAGTTTTGTGTAACTTTTTCAATAGAATATCTTCCCATATTGCTTACATATACCCTGTGTATAGGATTAGAATATCAATAAGATAAAAACAAAAATTAGATTATATAATTTAAAGCCATTGTTTTCTTTTAATTTTTGTGAAAACACCACAAGATCTAGACAACAAAATCAGGAAGAAAACTGCATCTATTTTAATTGGGCATTTATTTAGAAATATTTATCAAAATAAATCCAAATGTTTAGGTTCTCATGTAGGACCATTGATCCTACGAGAGCTCCTTTGCTGGGGTTTGATAGGCAACCATGGTGGTCTGGATTCCCTTCAGGATTACCTGTCCTCTCTGTTGTCTCCACAGATGTCTGGCTCTGAGCCTACAATGAGTGGAAATCAGTCCCTCTGCACCAAATTCACATTTGTGGCTTTTTCCTCTCTAGCAGAGTTACAGCCTGTGCTCTTCGTTGTGTTCTTACTCATCTACTTGTTTACTGTGGGAGGAAACCTCATCATCATCTCCCTGATCTGGGTCTCCACTTCCTTACACACTCCCATGTATTTCTTCCTGGTTAACCTCTCCTTCCTGGAGATGTGCTACATCACCAGTGTGGTGCCTCAGATGCTGGTGCATCTGCTGATGGAGACCAAGACTATAAGTGTGGGTGGTTGTGCAGCTCAGATGTACACATTTGCCATCTTGGGACTGACAGAATGCTCCCTGCTAGCAGCCATGGCTTATGATCGCTTTGTAGCTATTTGTTACCCGCTGCGTTATACACTCTTGATGAGCCCTCGCATGTGTTTGATATTGGCTACAGCGTCTTGGACCACTGGGGTGGTGGTGGAGTCAGCCCAGATCACCTGGATCTTCAGTCTTCCCTTCTGCGGAACAGGAAAGATTCAGCACTTTTTCTGTGACATCATGCCTGTAATGAAACTGGCTTGTGTTGATACCTCCCACAATAGGATTGTGATGTTTGTTCTCTCCATGATCTTCATCATGACTCCCTGTTTGCTCATCTTGTGCTCCTACCTGCGAATTCTTGTAACCATCTTGAGAATCCCTTCAGCAGCTGGCAGACACAGAGCTTTCTCCACTTGTTCATCTCATATCTTGGTTGTTTCTCTGTTCTATGGCACTGCCTTGTTCACTTATATCCAACCAAAGACGGTACACACTCCAGAAACAGACAAAGCAACTGCACTCATGTACACAGTGGTCACCCCTGCTCTGAATCCTGTTATCTATACCTTGAGGAACAAGGAAGTAAAGGAAGCCTTTCAAAGGGTAACACAGAGGAATCCTCTTAGACAAATGGCCTAACCCAGCCATAGTGGATGAAACATATACTAATATACAGATAAGTTAGTTACCCAAGGTTTTATGATGCATCTACCAATATACATTGTCCTTAAAGTATTTGTACCATCCAACTGGGAAACACTTATGAATGTTTTACATTTTTTCAATGTGTTTAAGCAAAAGGGAACTATGTAGTAGGGTCTTCAAATTATTTATCTTTCGTTCACAAGCATTTCCTTTGTCCTGGACACTATTCATTTTTTCCTTCTCCATAAGTAGTAGGATTAAGCTTGGTATCCTTTACACCACTTTACTGAGGAACTGAAATATTATTGTGGAGAATGTTAAATATGAATAGGAAGCAATTAGTAGCTTTTTAGTGTCAAACATAGGCTGTTAGGATTTAAGTTCTTAAGTGGAATACACTCCCTAATTACTTAGCTCTCTATACCTAAAAATCATGCATCTTAAATTATAAATTGTTCATAAATACTGTTGAGTGATATACACTACAACACAACTCTAAGTATTTAAGGTAAGTGTTTAAAATGTCTACCTTGTAAATCCAGTGGAACCCTGATTCTTTATTCAAAACTAGATTCTTCCCTTGCTCTTATTCACTTAGTGTTTGGTTTTTCATATGAATCAAGTTTTAGAAAAACTTCTTCCTGTGTGACATTCATTCTTGTTACTCCCATTGTAAGCCTTATTTAAATGTATATGTTTGAATATAATTTCCTTTAGGAGCTGACCTTTATCCTAGCTAATTAATTATATTATTTTTGACCCGGAATAATCAAGAACAGAACTTCCAAAATAAATAACTTTTAAACAAAAGCTGGTTTCTTATGGCAACTTTGGAGAAGTGAGGTGACCAAAATAATTTAAATGTTCAGTAATATTCTGTAGAAATTAGAGTTAACATTTTATTTTTATCTTAGTGTTTTCACCCTGTAGTCAAATCTTAATACCAGTGCAAGGAATTTGTTTGGAAGGACTCAGAAGTGAGAAAATGATACAGGCAAGGGAAGACAGCCACTAAATTGCCCATTATTATGCCAGGTACCATAAAAGGCCACTAAAATTTATTCTTACAAGGGAAATAGTGTAAAGCACAATCCTAAAATGTATTGACATATAGGCCTGTGTACATATACACCTATCATACACATTGATTGAAGGTTGATCTTAGGGAGCATTAACTCTGACAGTAATACTTAGCTGCTAACTGTTGCAAACTTCTGGAAATGCCCTCAAGAACAGTGATTTGGATTTGTGACATCTGGAAAGTATCTGGCATTGGATCTTAAGATGGCAAGTTGGAGGGATATAAGAGGTAAGACTGTCAGTGAAATCTACCCATTTATTTTCCAGAAGCATTTGAGATACTTGTATTTGTGATAGTAAAGAAGGTAAAGTATATGTGTGAATTGGAATGAATATAAAATAAGAATTTTATATTTCAGTAATTATATTTCTGTGTTGTATTTTCTGGCTCTGTTTGTAGAATGGTAGTTCCTCAAAGGCTGGTGCTAGAGCTATACATCACATTTCTGATATATAACATACTCATAATTAGGGATGATAAACATATTAAAGATGAAGTGTATTTGAACAAAATTCCATGGACAAAATCCCCAAATCTCATTAATGTTTAGTATAAAGGGGATGCTTTGTATTGGAAGATACATAAGGAGTTACTCAAGTTCTCCTAGCCAGTGAGCCTGCATATCCAAAGCAACAGTAGTAGTAAGAAACAAAAGGGGCCTGGAAGCATTGTTCAGCCCACAAGAAAGGTTGATTTTCTTTTTCTTTTTAACATAATTGGGGTATTTAAACCTAAATGCAAACCACGTGGTGTCACATTACCTTGTATAAAACATAAAATATTCATAATTGTGGGTGTTCTGATGAACACACACTTAATATCTCATTGTATCTTTTGTTTTTCACTCCTAGAACTAAGTGGATGCAAATAGGGAAAGAAATAGTAAACATGACTAATTATATTCAGCCTAAGTAATGGATCATGGGAAATGTTTCATTGGGTAATTTTGAAAAATAGTCACACTTAAACACTACTGTGTGAATATGTTCTTGGAACTTGTACCTAGAGTCTTTCATCATTAATATGCTTATAATAATGTAATAACAGAAAAACAAATTATTTTCTTTTTGATTATGTTTCTAGGTTGTGGTGATTAAATGGGTAAAACATTATTAAAAATCACTTAGCTTGTGTCCTGACACTGAGGAACCATATAGTAATAGTTGCTATCACTATCAATTAAAATAGCATTTGTGAAGTAAGTTAAGTCCTGTGGACATAAATACACAGTTTCAGCTTTCAAGTACTGAGAAATGGTGTGTTCTTGTTTTAATGGCTGTTGTGATTACTTAACCATATTGTCTTCTCATAGCAAATCT